TCTTCCCATGAAAGCATGTTAGAAAGAACAGTTAGAACCGCATGTTCTATCAGCAGTTCCTGCCCATCTACCAGTATGTACATCATGCTCTCAGTAAATGACAAGCATGTATGTTGCTGTAACGAATCCACTAAGCAATCTGGTGCCAATCTGGCAGGTACCCATAATTTTACCATCCCGTCAGTATCTAGCAGGATATTCTGTATGGAAACCATATCACTGTGAAACATGTACGACCCCTGCCCCGGAGATGAGCCATTAAACTAGCTGAACTTCCTACACTGTCATAATTTTCAAAAGCATGATGTGCATGTTAATAATCCACCAGCTCATAAATTTTGACATCCAACTTTGAAACTTTTATATTTATCGCCATCATTAGTTTCAGGTCCTGTGTTGCTGTGATTTTTACCACTTGGATTATGTCTTCTGGAATATGATCACTGTGGAATATGACTTCGCTGGGATATATTTTCTGTGGAATATGACTTCCATGGAATATGACTACTGTGGAATATGACTTCCCTGGGATATAATTACTGTGGAATATGACTACTGTGGAATATGACTTCCATGGATATGATCACTTCCATGGAAGTCATCATCCACAGAAAATATATCCCAGGTAAGTCATATTCCACAGTAATCATATTCCACAGTAGTCATATTCCATGGAAGTCATATTCCACACTAATTATATCCCAGGGAAGTCATATTCTACTGTGGAATATGACTTCCATGAGATATAATTACTGTGGAATATGACTTCCATGGGATATGTCCACTGGAATATGATCACTGTCGAATATGACTTCCATGGGATATGATTACTGTGGAATATGACTTCCGTGGGATATGATCACTGTGGAATATGACGTCGGTGGGGTATGATCACGGGATTATGACTTCAATGGAATATGAATACTGTGGAATATGCCTTCCATGGAATATGATCACTGTGGAATATGACTTCCATGGGACATATATATGATCACTATGGAATATGACTTCCATGGGATATGATCATTGTGGAATATGACTTCCCTGGGATATGATCATTGTGGAATATGCTCACTCAGGATTATGACTACTCTGTGGTTTCTCATCAATGTGCAATATGATTGATGGTTATTTATATTAATTTAAACAAACTTCAGCTCGGGAACCATTGTGGAATGTGACCACTGTGCAATATGACCAATGTGGAGCATGATCACTGGTTAATAATAAATGGATTTAACCAAGCTTATGCACTACACTGGAAACACAGTAGAATATCACCACCATAGAATATATAGAACATGACAGTTCATATATGGATTAAACAAGTTTATCCTCATCGTGTGATAAATCCTACCTTACCACACATCATAATGGCATGACTATAAACAGTATAGCAATAACAGTGCAGATTGTTCACACTGTGCAACATGACTGAACAACAGTGTGTGATACAACCTGTATCTCCCAGCTTAATTACGCAACTAAAAAAAAAAAACAGCCATTGTTTCCAACATTCTAATCAGCAAGATACTTCATGCATATGCAAATAAGAACGAATAAGCTGAATAAAGTAGACCCAGACTCCAGTCTATTCACTCCATCTGGATTACCATGACTGTGTTTTTGAATGTCGACTGTTGAAAATACACCAGCCATATTGAGGTCTGGACTGTCATGGGAAGAGTAGTGATCATGTGACCTAGCGTGCAGCTGATCGCAACATATCGGATGGCTTTTGAGACGAGGAAGCCCTCGACGAGCTAGTCATGGCCAGCAATGTATCCGAAGACGGCTAGCATGTATAAATTAATGAAAGGATCTGCTCCGAGCTTATAGATTTCTTTCTCTGTCTCAATGGCTGCAGCTCGTCCCAGTTGCTTCTCACTGGGCTCGGATCGGCCGTTATCTATGTTGGTGATTTAGCACTGTTAGGACAATTCTGGGAGTATTTACTCTTCTACAATCTTGTTGTTCCATACTAAAAGCTTATAAATGTAATCACGCTAATGCTAATATTTTTGTACAAGCTTCAAGTGACTGTCAAAAGCAAGCAAACCTTATTAATACATGTTTGTGTCTATCATTAGATGAAAATGCTACAAGGTTATTTTCGGTGATGTAAGTGAATTCATTTCACTATTGATCCGAGACAACATGCTAGCATTATTATTTGATGCTCAAGTCTTTCACATTGTTGGCACAGGGTTCCGGCTGAGAGAATCAAATGATATTCCTCATCGCCAAATGTGGGACACTAATACAGTCGTCGATCTAATTGTTTTACCATAAGTTCCCTGATATTGTTCGTGGAAGTCGGTAACCATGATCGTATTGATTTTCTGTTACTTTGCTGGCAATCTTGACAATATCTAACTGAACATTACTGCTCACTGTACCATCCTGAAACAGTAACACTGCACTCGGCAATATTCAAGCTAAATGATAGAGGCCTGTGAACAATTCTGCCTGGACCAGACGATCCAATGATAGTTCTTGTGAGCAGCGAACCACAGTCAGGGGGAAGGGCACATAATCAACCATATTAACAAGCTTGACCACTTCATCTGGGGAGCTTGGGACCATTTAACAGAATCACCACTAGGTCCCAGTGTTGAAATTCCATTTAGAAGAAATCATTATAAATCACTGGAGTGAGTGAGTTTTGGTATTACACCGCTTTTAACAATATTCCAGCAATATCACGGCAGGGTCACCAGAAATAGGCTTCATAAATCACTGGAATTTAATTGATATTTCAACCTATCAAAAAAGGGTCAATAATCATTTTGTTTTTTCTACAAACCTATCCAAGTACCAGCTTTTTTTCAGGACATTAAAAAATAAAGAACTTTTTTTTCCATGCATATAATTATTTCATTGGCCGGATATTAATATAGAGTGTTTTAATGTGTATTAATGAATTGTTTTCTCTAAAATCTTAACAATAGGCAAACATATCATAGTCCAAGAAATCGTTATCATTTTTTCCTGACAACAAATTTTTCTTGTAATTATTGTGCCAACTACTTATTTGAAACTTGTGGAATACTCTAGACTAATCCATATGAAACAAAAAAATACACTCCTCATTCAAGATCATTGATGAAAATAAATTTCCTTCTTTCAAATTTTCTTTGATGCTGACTGTATACTTGTGGAGAGTAGTTAACTGGATTAACATATTTTCATCATATACACTGTTTAAATGAAATGTAGGTTTGCTCAAGTCATGGCTGAAGTGGAAAGGCCATGCATTTATAGACAAAATAGATGAACCATCCACAAAAATCAAATCACAACATTAGTGAGGAATTTCAATGGCTCACTGAGAGCATTCTAGTCCTCGAAACGAAATGCTATTTGGGTTGATTTTCTACCATAAAAAAAATCATGTTTAACAAAAATATTTTTTGTTCACCTCAGAAAAAGAAAGTATCCCTCTAGGAGGCACTTAAACTCATTCTAAAAAATATACATGATACGTGATTAGGCTGTAAGTTTCATCCCAAAAGTGTGCCCAGTTCTTTTATTATCATACATTTCCACAAACAAATGTGATTTCAATAATTTCACAGCTTTTCAATCAATCTGGCAAGAAGTTTACATGCATTCTTATAAATGATGACAAGTTACATAAGGTCCAAGCAGCTGGATTGATTTTGAATTCATGACAGTGTATACATTCCTATCCTCTCCCCCCACCGATACAAATTTGATACATGGTTTCTTGTCAGAATGAGATGCTAGCCAGACAATTCCATCCCACTCCATTCAAATCAAAAATGTCGATCTCTGCAATGTGCAGCTAAATTCGTTTCCTGTTTAACATGGACTGAGTGAGGCTGCTCTATGACAATTAGCCTTACAAAGAAAAGCGAGGGTATAAAAATAGCGAGACGGAAAGCATCGATACTTGGGGCTGTTTGCTCGACTAGTTTTGTAGCTAAAGCAACACATTACTGAACATTGATCATAGACACTACAGAGTTGTATCTCAATGTGGGTCACATATACTGATTAACTATGCAGAGGCAAGTCAGTCCTCTCTACTGGTGGGTCTGTCAGGTCGGTCTGTCACTGACTCCAGCTTGTCAGGGATGCTATATCTCATTGCTCGGCAGTACACAATGCTGAACAATCCATGCTCTATCTCTCATTGCTCAAGGTCACACAATGCTCTGGCCCTACACAATGCATCACCCATGCTCTCCTACCCCATCACCCACGCCTCCTACCCCCATCACCCATGCTCTCCTGTACCCCCATCACCCATGCTCCCTACCCCATCACCCATGCTCTCCTACCTTAACTAACATGCTCTCCTACCCCATCACCCACGCCTCCCACCCCCCATCATCTATGCCTCCTACCCCATCACCCACTGGAGTGAGTGAGTTTTTGGCCTTACAATCGCTTTTAACAATATTCCAGCAATATCCACAGCAAGGTCACCAGAAATAAACTACATAAATCACTTCAATTTAATTGATATTTCAACCTTATCCAAAAAAAGGAAATAATAATCATTTTATTTTTCTACAAACCTATCCAAGTACCAGCTTTTTCAATGCTGAACAATCCATGCTCTATCCCTCATTTAACAAGGTCACCCATGCTCTCCTACCCTCATCACCCATGCTCTCCTACCCCCATCACCCACGCCTCCTACCCCCATCACCCATGCTCTCCTACCCATCACCTACTCCTATCCTACCCCCATCATCTACCACTTTCTCCTACCCCATACCCATCACCCATGCTCTCCTACCCCCATCACCCATGCCTCCTACCCCCATCACCCATGCTCTCCTACCCCATCATCTACGCTTCTCCTACCCCCCCTATCACCCACGCTCTCCTACCCTCATCACCCATGCTCTCCTACCCCCATCACCCACACCTCCCTACCCCCCATCACCCATGCTCTCCTACCCCCATCACCCACGCCTCCTACTACCCTTCTCTATCACATCACGCTTCTCCTACCCTCATCACCCATGCTATCCTACCCCCATCACCCACGCCTCCTACCCCCATCATCTACGCTTCTCCTACTCCCATCACCCATGCTCTCCTACCCCATCACCCCACCTCCATCACCCACGCCTCCTACCCCCATCATCTACTTCTCCTACCCCCATCATCCACCCACGCTTCCTCCTACCCCATCACCCATGCCTCCTACCCCCATCATCTATGCTCTCCTACCCCCATCACCCACGCCTCCTACCCCCATCACCCACGCTTCCATACCCCCCCATCATCTTCTATGCTCTCCTACTCCCATCATCTACGCCTCCTACTCCCCCATCACCTACGCCTCCTACCCCCATCATATATGCTCTCCTCCCACTCCCCATCATCTATGCTCTCCTACTCCCATCACCTACGCCTCCTACCCCCCATCATCTATGCTCTCCCACCCCCATCACCCACGCCTTCTACTCCCCATCATCTACGCCTCCATCACCCCCATCACCCCCATCACCCATCCTCCTACCCTCATCACCCATGCTCTCCTACCCCCATCATATATGCTCTCCTACTACCCCATCATCTACGCCTCCTACTCCCATCACCTACGCCTCCTAACCCCATCATCCACGCCTTCTACTACCCCATCACCCACGCCTCCTACCCCCATCATATATGCTCTCCTACCCCATCATCTACGCCTCCTACTCCCCCATCACCCACGCCTCCTACCTCCATCACCCACGCCTCCTACCCCCATCATCTACGCCTCTTACCCCCATCACCCATGCCTCCTACCCTCATCACCCATACCCCCATCACCCACGCTCTCCTACCCCCATCACTAATTCCTTCCTACCCCATCACCAATGCTCTCCCACCCACAAATCCAAGCTGTAATGCAACCCTCCCCCCTGACACATGCCCTCCAAGACCTTGGTGCCCATGCTCTCCTATTGCTATCACCCATGCTCTCTTGACCCACTAACCCACTGTAATCCAAGCTGTAGTCTCAAGACCCATGCCTCCCACCCCTAATCACCCATGCTCTCTGATGTACTCCAAGACCCATGCACTCCCACCCCTATCACCCATGCTCTCTGACCCACTAACCCAAGCTGTAATCCAAGCCTACCCCATCTCTCATGTACTCCAAGACCCATGCACTCCCACCCCAATCACCCATGCTCTTCTACTCTGCCACCCAAGCTGTAATCCAAGCCTACCCCATCTCTCTCTGTAACCCAAGACCCAAGCCTACCCCATCTCTCATGCACTCCCACCCCAATCACCCATGCTCTTCTACTCTGCCACCCAAGCTGTAATCCAAGCCTACCCCATCTCTCATGTACTCCAAGACCCATGCACTCCCACCCCCATCACCCATGCTCTTCTACTCTGCCAACCAAGCTGTAATCCAAGCCTAGCCCCCATCTCTCATGCACTCCAAGACCCTGTCCCCATGTACATATTTCCGTCTTCTCCTGATTATGGACACTTCTATCATTCTAACAGAATCTGATCATTAAATGGGAATATTTACCATTAAATGCTAGAATATTTACCAGCACCTTGGACATAAAAATTTTCAATATTTACATAAACGCATTTTGGCTGTAAAATTCATACTGAAATATTTCCTGTGAAATCTCAGTACTTCTAACATATATATATATTGTCACACAGTCAATGTATTCCGACATGTTCATGAGTGTGAATCATTTTTCTAGAGGCACATTTTTCAGCAAGCCAACATTTCCCATAATGCTTCACATCATCCTGCAATGAAACAGCCAGGGCACCTTGACAACCTTTGCCATTGCAACTGTCATTTAAACACACAATTATTCAAACAAAGTCACTGAGCATGGCGAGGCAAACAATTCCCTAAAAGAAAATCACTTTCTACAACCAACACCACTTAATGCGAAACGCATTAGCATGAGCTTTCATGACTTCATGGCATTAGACATTCTTTATTGTCCATTGCCACAAATGTGCATTCACTGTCTGACAATGGTCCTATGTGGGATGAAAATAATAGTTTTAAATAAATCCACATAACAAAATAATTGATATTTCCAAAATATCTTATATCTTTCCTATGTATTCAACTATTCAGCAGAATAGATCTTTTCGGAAAAAGCTCGTTGCAAATAACAATACAAATATACATGAATAACCTCTAAGGAAAGCATTGTCTTCTTACAGTTTTCAAGACAATGATTAGCTGCATCTTATTGCAGTTTGTTTACAATATTTAGATTTCAGAATCCTAGTGACCTCTATATGCTCTTAAAAAAAAAAGTCAAGGATTAACTGATTCCTTCATGCGACTAGTTTACCTGGCATGGCATATCAACTTAAGTGGGACAGTGGGTAACCTGGTGGTTAAAGCATTCGCCCGTCAAGCCAAAGATGGATGTTTGATTCCCCTGATGGGTACTAGTTTGGTTTTACGCCGCTTTTAGTAATATTCCAGCAACATCACGGCGGGGGACACCAGAAATGGGTACTATGTGTGAAGCGCACTTATGATGTCCCATGCTGCACTATTTTGCTGCACTATTGCTAAAAAACTTAACTCGTATAATCAGGTGTTGTCAAACTGTTTTTGAGCAGAACATCTTCCACTCTAATATTTACCACTCCTAAAATCCACAAGTGCTGCTTTAATGCTAAGGAAACCATGGATATTACAAATTGAGATTCAAACCCATGATCTTCACGTAATCAAGGGACATAACTCTGTACAACTGTGGCACATCATCCAGGCCACCAACACCCTATACAGATGACAAACATTAGCTAACATAAAGATCTTTATCACTGACATTAAGGTATATCTCAGAATATATTCATGCTAATCCTGCATATTTTATTGAAATGAACACATACAGCCTATGCTCTCCTTCCCCATCACCCATGTCATCCTACCCTCATCACCATACAGCCTTACACAAAACCTGTCTTGTCATTAGTGTTACCAAATCCACTATCGATTATCGGAGGATTGTGGTGAACGATTATTGATTATGATTGAGTGAGTGAGTTTTAGTTTTACGCCGCTTTTAGTAATATTCCAGCAACATCACGGCGGGGGACACCAGAAATGGGTACTATGTGTGAAGCGCACTTATGATGTCCCATGCTGCACTATTTTGCTGCACTATTGCTAAAAACTTAACTCGTATAATCAGGTGTTGTCAAACTGTTTTTGAGCAGAACATCTTCCACTCTAATATTTACCACTCCTAAAATCCACAAGTGCTGCTTTAATGCTAAGGAAACCATGGATATTACAAATTGAGATTCAAACCCATGATCTTCACGTAATCAAGGGACATAACTCTGTACAACTGTGGCACATCATCCAGGCCACCAACACCCTATACAGATGACAAACATTAGCTAACATAAAGATCTTTATCACTGACATTAAGGTATATCTCAGAATATATTCATGCTAATCCTGCATATTTTATTGAAATGAACACATACAGCCTATGCTCTCCTTCCCCCATCACCCATGTCATCCTACCCTCATCACCATACAGCCTTACACAAAACCTGTCTTGTCATTAGTGTTACCAAATCCACTATCAATTATCGGAGGATTGTGGTGAACGATTATTGATTATGATTGAGTGAGTGAGTGAGTTTAGTTTTACGCCGCTTTTAGCAATATTCCAGCAATATCACGGCGGGGGACACCAGAAACGGGCTTCACACATTGTACCCATGTGGGGAATCGAACCCGGGTCTTCGGCGTGACGAGCGAATGCTTTGACCACTAGGCTACCCCACCGCTTGATTATGATTGAAGTATATACATTTTTAATGTTATCACCAATTTCATGGGTTTTCCCCCAGGTTTTTTCTAATGTATGTTGTTTATAACTAATCCTGTCAGGCAATGACATACACGCATGCAAAAAGACACTGGAATTGTAATTAAACAATAAAAGTGGTTAAAATGTTACAATGTGCATAGCTTTACGCTGTTGAGTGCATGTTTGTTCGTAAATATTTGTCAAATTTAATTTTTACTTTACTTCATTCAAGCGTGTTATACTAAAACAACAAAATTCTGATTAATTGAAAATATGTTTTTTACAATCGATAAACAATTTAATCCTTCTTTTGATCGATTTTCGATTATTTTCGATCATCGGAACACCACTACTTATAATGGGGGAGCACAATACAAGGCCAACATGCATTGTACCAGAACGAGAATTACACCTGGATCTCTGTCATGAGCTAGCTTGTTGACCACAAAAGAACCACCAAGGCCCAAATTCTTCTTGAATTTCAAATGCACCTAAAAATAATAAATAATTTACATGGTAGCTACCAATATATCAAAACCTACGACATATCTTAGCATGTTTCTGGAAAGATCAATTTCAGTTCACTTCACATATTTTCAAGGCAATTATGCCAAGATGCAAGAGACATAAGTAGCAATAACTGAAAGCCACTTTTAGCAATATTCCAGCAATACCGTGACGGGGCACACCAGAAATGGGTTTCACGCGCTGTACCCATGTGGGAAGTCGAACCTGAGTCTTTGGCATGACTAGTGAACGCATTAACCACTAGACTACCCCACCGTCCTCCAATAACTGATCATGTTTAGTGTTCATTACTTTACAAGCGAGTTTGGCTTTATGCTGATTAAACAGGATTCGAGACATATCACACCATTTCTCTAAGATGTAATTTCATAGAAGATAATTTCACATACTACACAAAAAAACATACCTCATCTGCATATCCTAATAAGAAATTCCAGAATACTCTTCAAAATAATCAATACTGACTATCTCACAAACATGTTCTTCTGAATGACTTGTAACATTAACAGAAATAAGATCTCCATTCTCTGGATCGTCATACTCTCTTGATAACTGCTGTTCCTCTTGTAACACTGACACAGCATATGTTCATTCTCTGTCCTTATTCTCTCTCAGTGTTAGCATTTCTCTCTCATAACATTAACAGACATGGCAAATCTTGTTTACTCAATCCTCATTCAGTCTTGATAAAAGCTATTCTCTTTTTAACATTAATCGAGACAGCAAACCTTCTTTCTTGCTATCCTCTTTTTAACATGAACCAAGACAGCAAACCTTTCTTGCTATCCTCTTTTTAACATGAACCAAGACAGCAAATCTTCTTTCTTGCTATCCTCTTTTTAACATGAACTATCCTCTTTTTAACATGAACCAAGACAGCAAATCTTCTTTCTTGCTATCCTCTTTTTAACATGAACCAAGACAGCAAACCTTCTTTCTTACTATCCTCTTTTTCTTTCTTACTATCCTCTTTTTAACATGAACTAAGACAACAAACCTTCTACCTTTCCTACTATCCTCTTTTTAACATGAACCAAGACAGCAAACCTTCTTTCTTACTATCCTCTTTTTAACATGAACTAAGACAGCAAACCTTCTACCTTTCCTACTATCCTCTTTTTAACATGAACCAAGACAGCAAACCTTCTTTCTTGCTATCCTCTTTTTAACATGAACCAAGACAGCAAACCTTCTTTCTTACTATCCTCTTTTTAACATGAACCAAGACAGCAAACCTTCTTTCTTACTATCCTCTTTTTAACATGAACCAAGACAGCAAACCTTCTTTCTTGCTATCCTCTTTTTAACATGAACCAAGACAGCAAACCTTCTTTCTTACTATCCTCTTTTTAACATGAACTAAGACAGCAAACCTTCTACCTTTCCTAAGACAGCAAACCTTCTTTCTTGCTATCCTCTTTTTAACATGAACCAAGACAGCAAACCTTCTTTCTTACTATCCTCTTTTTAACATGAACCAAGACAGC